AAAACTAACTACAATATACTCTTCGTGAAATCTTAAATAAAATCTGTAATATGTTTATTAGGTATATTATAACAAAATATCGTATACAGTAGAACAAAACAATTATACGATTCACGTTAACACCCGATGTACCTAACACTTTATATCGTCGAAAAAACTGCGATGAGAGTATAACGTATATCTGATAATAATATAATATGTTAATGTTTTAGTAAGACATATCGACGGTGTAGCTCGTTTGGAAATCGCGGCTGATAAGGGTTGGGGGTGGCGGTCGGAGAACTCGTTTGATCATTGTTATTATTTTTTTATTATTATTATTACACTCGCGCGCACACTAAAAAAAAAGACACGCCGTTTATTTATATATATATGTACTACGTGTATAACATAATATATATATATATATATTCGGTATGCGTGTGTGCAGAGAATAGAAAGAAAGAAAGAAAGAATAAAAAACACGTTTTATTTTTCTTTCCACCTCGTCGAGATTCTCCGTGTGTACCAGAGCGTATACGGCGGCAGCGTTGGTCGAGTACGGACCGTGACTGTAGTGATGGTGCGTCGGCGGGGGGGCGAGTGCGGCGACGACTACGATGGCACGTCCCGTTACCGTAGACACCGGTCGGTCGTCAGTCCGTCCGATTCTCTCTGTCTCCGTCTTTCTCTCCAAGTTTTTTACACACGCGCGCGACTATGTTTTTTTTTTTTTATTATTATTATTTTCCCTCAAGTGGGCTCTCGGATTATTATTATAATATTTTATTATAACTACGAACGTGTTCGCCCAAGGACGCGCACGTCTCGGCCATATAATATCATACCGAGATTTCCCGTCATCGTTGAGGGCGGCGGCGATGTGTTCTATTATTATCATATTTTTTTTCCCAATATTATTTTTCCGTACGGAAAAACATATACCATCGCCGTCGCCGCCGCCATATACCGTTAGACGCGGTGATCATCGTGGTCGCGGTCGTTGTCCAAGGACGCGTTCACTAGCCACCACAGCTGCGATGGTTCCGCGCGCGCGTTCAGTCCGATTCGTCGACAGACGGTCGACGTTTACCGCCGCGACTAACGATTGGATCAGCAGGGACCTTATAACTATTGTATAGCCGCTGCTGTTGGGCGCGTTGACCCGCTCCGATGGAAAAGCGTCCAAATTAAAAAGAAAACCGTCTCTCGTGTGCTCAACCGTACACATATTGTACTCCTGTTGTAGATTTAACACGGAAAGACAGTCCTGGGAGATTTGGAGGTCAAGGGCACTATTGCAGTTATGTGTAAAATGGCTAATTAGCCTATATTGAAAAATGCATCTGTCCCAACATAATTTCTGTACATTAGGTACGCACTGTTTTAGTACAATTTTTATCATTATACATTATGTATTTTTATGTAATAGGATTTTAGAAGGAAAAGTTGTAAGTTTATATTGTTTAGACATTGTATTTAACGATAAAATACAAATGCTCTGAGTTAATTTTTATTAAAACCAACAAAATTTTATTAAACATAGTAATATATACATATATTTAATTTCAATAGACAAATCAAATTAAAAGTACGAGCAGATATTATAATATGTATAGGTAAGATACTTTTTATAATTATATAAGTGATTCACTGTTGTAAATTTTAAAATAGACAACTATGTAGACTAACTAATTATTATTGTTTTTACAAGAATAAAATGACCAGCGTTAAATTTTATGTATTTAAATTTTTTTTTTCGATCTCAAACATAATATAATGGCACAATTATAAGTCATATTATAAACTGTTTACTCATCATAATACGGTAGTGTATAAATATAATATGATTCGCGACCTTAATTGCCGGATCTGCTTGTATAATATATACATATTTATGTGTATAGGCACATTGTTCAATCGTTAATGTCGGAGCACATTATTTGTACATATACGTAAATGAGTATAGTAGCCAGTAGTATACAATTACTGCGTGTTTGTGTGTGTGTGTGTGTGTGTGTGTGTGTGTGTTGTATGTATATACTTACGACATTACAAAGTACGAACGGTGTAGAGTGGTGCATGTGCTAGCTGTAGTAGACCACCACGTTTTCGTTGAGCGCCGCCGGACGATGACGCCGAAACAAAAAACATTTACAATTTTATTTTTCAGTCGCGCGTGTACTTAAATATAGCATTATATTCGTGTACGGGACGCGACGAAACAATAATTATTGTGCAATGGCGGTGCGTTTGTTCGTTTCCCAAACGTTAAAGTGTACAAGTATATATACATCACCGTGCACATTATAATACCTTTGTATTATAATATATATAATATACAGACACTAAATATATAGTTTTTGTGAGAGAGTAGGGAAAAGTATGAAAATTTTCTTGAATGACATAATGTAAGTAGTTAAGTCGTAATTGAGGAACACGAATTTTCAGCAGACTTTAGCGTCTCTTATGTTATGTTTTCAATACGAGTTATAATGCTATTTTAGCGATGGTGATCTAAAAATATGTTCGTTAAAACGCTTAGTTAATTGTCGTTTTGATGACATTTATAACTTTTAAGAGCCGGTCATTTGGCATAATATAATATTTATATGTACCTAAATATTATGTACACACGACGCGTGGATATTTTATACATCTATAATGTCTGCTAATGTACATTGTAGCAAGTATAATAATGCACCAACTCATTAAAATTACTATATATAGAAGGTAGAGTATAATAATGGATTTACATTTGTTAACTGTAGAGGTGTGTTAAACGTAAGTTTTATTACAGACACTCCGACAAACGATTTTATTATTATATTAATTCACACACAACACGCAAATCACGTTGTTCAAATTCCATTTATTCATAATTGCGTATATTATACATGTAATAATTGTATGTGTCCGATCACTAAAATCTTGTACTCTTGTTATATGATAACAGTAAAAAAAAAAAAAAAATAATATAAATTAACTCCATGGTGTTGATAAGCCCGATGATAATTTATCTGAACATTCTATTGGCACATTTTATTATGGTATCGTGGTGATTTATGAAATAATTATCACCTAGTCAAAGGAATACTATTACTAATTGTTGCTATATAATTTATATAATATATTATTATATTTACAATTTTAAACATAAAATATATGGGTTTGTTTCTCACCAAAGCTGAATACATTTATACTATATTGAATATTAACTAGAGAGTCTAGATAATATCTAGGTTTATTTATCTAGGCTCTCTAGTATTAACTATATGGTCGTATGGAGTGATAATAATTGACTATGAGTAGATAATACAAACGCGTCGGTCTTCAACGATCGGTTAACGGAACAGGGGCAGCGTAAAATCTGAAATGAGATTCTTGAACTACTGAAACCAAGGACAACATAATGATGATGAGAACCGTCTGAATGACGATTTAGAAATATTAGAAATCAAGATAGGCGTGGGTTTTATATGGTATATATATTATTATGTATAAGAGAGCAAGAGAATAAAAGTCGAATATTGAAGTCTTATTTGTGTACTATATAACAACGAGTGGTCAAGGTGTAAACATAATAAAAATAATATGAAGTCACCGTCTCGTAATTGATTTCACTCTTACGTTCAAATTTTGTAAATTACCAAATAATAATATAATTTATGACATATAGGTACCTAGAGCGAGTGGGATAGTTGAGATTATATTTTTTATTTACTATTATTATTATATTATTCTATTCCTATAAATTCTATTCATCCATGACATTTCTATTTACGCGTGAATTATAATAAGACGCATAATTAGTATATAAATTATTTACCCACAGACAATAATAATAAATAATATTATGTGATAAAAATATATATAAATTATTATTTTTAATACCACAAATTTTTTAATAATATTATGATACACAATAATAATTACTAATTAGTATGCAGAGTGTTATGAAACATTCACAAAAATATTATATCATATCAGTACCTATACATAAATCACAAATTGTACAATATGGTCTTGTATTTTTATTTTAGTGATGTCAGTTAAACAGGAACGCAATACATTTTTTCAGTATAAATATATACTAATTTATACTTAGGGAGCGAGCTTTCATAAATCAGTTAAAACGCATTTGATCGATATACGTAATAATACAATAATTATTATCATACTTAATGCCTATTTATGATAATGGTGGAATGTGGCTTGCTGACTTACGGACTAGAAACTTTATGGTTTATTTAATTCTATTAGATACTGCAAAGTACATATGTACAATAAATTATATTTTAAATTTATAATGATGCCACTTTAAAATATATATATATATATATATACCTATAATAGTAAAATTTTTAGGTTGTTCGAGAGTTCACAAAGATTTGAGTAAATAGCATAAATGACAAACATTATTGTATTTAGTTCTTTAATACGTACTGCGGAAGGATCGAAATCTTTCGTGAACGAGCTGGGCACGCTTAGACATATGACCCATCTCACACGTACGTTCCGTAAATACAGCTGATATTAAAATACGTACATATCTAACAATATGGTTATTAACAAATAATGTCTAAAATTTCTCTCTGCGAGAATCGTGATGTGTTACTTCGGGTTGCTCGGGAACCGGATCGTATACGTGTACAATGTACATATTATTATACGAGTATATACGATATAAGGTCGTCCAAAACTGCCATATAACATGCACGTTTCACTTATATTTTTTTTTAGACATCTTTTTATCGTTGCAAATGCATACGATATAACACGATAACCATTATACAGATAACGCTGTAAGCATCAACGCCAATGTGGATTGTTTGGATGATATAGATGTTGAGTCAGAAAATTTTGCCGGATCAATATTAATCGCGGAGGTTTGCAACAGTTGTCGTTTTCGCGTTGTATCATCCATCATAGGCACACTGCAGTATCTAGCAGTGTTGTATTATAACTTATAACTTCGCCGTATGCAATTAATAAACCTTGTTACATCTCACAACACACTTATGGACCAACACCGGCAGTTGTTATTTTTGTTGGGAGTGGCGTGTCTGACGACTGCCGACACACACTCGTTTACCAAGGGAAACACAAACACCGAAATCATATCCTCTCGGGAAGTTTCCCGGACTGAACCACCACCCCAGAACGAGCAGCCATCCCAAGTCAAACTTCCATTGCGAGAAGAACCTTTATCCCAGAGCCAACTTTCAACTCAAAGTCAACTAACAACGCATGTTGAAAATTCTACTCACGCCCCTTGCAGAAGTGGTAGTATTAACAACGAAGATACCAACGAGTCCACAATACCTACTTCGACTACTGTTAGCGTCGAGGCAGTCACTGACAGACTTCGCAACCAGGTGATACGGTTGACTAATGAGCTTAGTAAAGCGGTTGCCGCGCTACACATCGCTCAGCAACGCGAACGAAAGCTAGCTATATTGGAAAGAGAGAAATACAGGTACCATGGTATTATAATAAATACAAAAAGTACACTTTGCATACGTTTATATGTGCGTACACAGCGATTAATATAAATCACCAATCACTGCTTACCTCAGATTTGGTCTAATATTGTACTATATAATGTATAGAAAAATTTAATATAACACGATAATTTAAAAAAAAACTCGCAAGATGATTCGTGTCTCTAACAGAAACTATTATTTATTTATTTTTACTTCTTTAAGTCGTAAGAGCTAAAATAGATTAGTGGTATTGCTTCTTAAATGACGATAATATCAGCAATAAATACCAATATTGATCATTTGATCCAATATGCCTGTATTACACGTATGAAGTTAAATTAGTAATTTGGTATGTTAAAAAAATCTATTTACATTAATTAAGTCAAATTATGATGACGGTGATACGTCAGAGTTACGATAATAATTGTCATGAGTTTATATAATTATATGTATTGCACTGTGCTATAGCAGTATAAAATGCATATTTGTACACTTTTATAACACTGTCTTACCGATACATATGTGATGCAAGGCTGAGCGAGTAAATTAAAATTATTTTAACTTGAATTTGTAAATTTAAGTTAATAGCGACAGATATGGGTCAAGTTCAAAAATATAAATTAAATATAAGATAGAATATACTAAATTTAAAAAGATGTGTTCTTTTAAAAATTAAATTCATGTACCAAAAATAAATTTTGTATTGTTATAATAATTATAATTTATATTGACTATTATAACTTAGATAAAACTACTATGCTAGATAAAATATTAAAGTGAGAAAAAAATTGAGGAATATAATTAAATCAAAGGGACTAAAAATCAATTAATTACAAGACAAAATTTAGCTCGTAAATAGTAACTAGATAATATGTACCTCAAAATGTTTAATCCTCAGTCTTGCGTATATTTTACATTACTGATAACCTTATAAACCAGATATATAATTATATTTAAAAAACCGTGGCACCGATATATTATTTGTTATTATTCAATATTATAGTAGCATATCAGGTATAATTTTTTAATAAATATATAATATAATATATCATCACATAACAACACGTCATTCTAATATCGTAGTTATGTAAAAGTGGCGTCAGAAAAGGTGCTGAGTCTAGTGGACAACGTGCAGCACGCCGAGAACGGATTAGCCGCTGACACATATCGGGAACGGCAGGTCCAGCAGCGGCTGGCCCGCACCCAACGGACGCTGGGTCGATCGCGCCGCCGGTTGCAGGTGATCCGCCGACTGTTAGCCGGCGCGGAAGTGGGTCTGGTGCACTTGGAGAGCAGTAGGGTGCTAAGCATGTGCAGCGGAAATAGCAAGAAACCACAGGAAACGTAGGAAATGCAGCACAGCGCCAAGTCACCGTCTTTGAAACACGCATTGGACGTATAATCATAATAGCGGCAATGTCTTCACTTCTCACTGCACTGGCTAATCTCATACCATACATCGCACGTATTCACGACATTTATTATTTACTGCATATCCCGGCTTATGCATAATATTGAATTACCTTAAAGTGGTTTATTTTCATTCTTTTTTTTTTTGCCTAATTAAATCCGACTAATCGACACTTTTTGATTTAGAGTCGTTATAAATTATTATTATTATTATTATTGTTATTATTATATGAACGATAGGTCGTTGACGGAACAGTGTTAGACACACACACACACACACACACACACACACACACACACACA